TCCGAAAGACATAACCGTGCACTCATATAGCCCGTACCGAGTGGTGAAGGCCGTCTTTGGAACATCCTCTTCCCGGATTCTCAACTGGTGGTAGCCTGATCGCAGGTCTATCTTAGAAAACACTTTAGCTCCTTTCAGTTGATCAAACAAATCATCGATTCGCGGCAAAGGATATTTGTTCTTGATTGTGACCTCATTGAGTGCGCGATAATCAACGCACATCATCTTCGTCTTATCATTTTTCTCCACAAAAATGACCGGAGCACCCCAAGGTGAAGTACTTGGTCGAATGTACCCTTTCTGCAGCTGCTCATCAACCTGCTTCTTGACCTCTGCTAGTTCGTTGGCCGCCATTCTGTACGGTCTCTTGTAAATTGGAGCGGTTCCCGGTGCCAAGTCAATCTGGAATTCAATCTCTCTCTTGGGTGGCATGGTAGTGAGGTCTTCGGGGAACACTTCTGGATACTCGCAGACTATGGGTATATCTTCCAATTTCCTCAAGTTCTTCTCCACGGTGTCCACTGGGATTTCCGTCTCAATCTGATTCAAAGAGACCCCTCGCCTTGGTGAGACTAGTGATTTGTACACCACCGTTTCTCCCTTCTCGTTGGTCAAGGTGACTATGCGATTCGCACAATCGATGACTCCCTTAAACTTGGTCAGCCAATCCATCCCAAGAATGACATCTAGGTCTTTAGATTCGAGAAGAATGAGGTTGGCTAGAAATGGTGATCTTTGAATTTCTATTAGCACTGAAGGGCTAAAACTGACTGAAGTTGAACTATTTCCCGGGGTATGAACTCTCATTGGTGTGCTAAGCTCTTCTTTCCTTAACCCATACATCCCCACAAATTTCTTTGAAATGAAAGAATGCGTTGCACCAGAATCAAAAAGTACTGTTGCAGGGATTGAGTTAACAGGGAACGTACCCAGTACGACCTCTGGTGCTGCTTGTGCCTCCTCCGCAGATGCGTGGTTGACACGAGCCTGGATAAACCTTGGCCCGGCACGCCTAGGCTTCGGGCATTTGTCAGCGAAGTGGCCAAGCTCGCCACAGTTGAAGCAGGACCCTGGTTTTGCTCCAGTCTCCTTCTTGGCTTGCGCGGACGTGCCTGACTGTGCCGGTGCCATTGGTGGGCGTGGAGCTGCACCGCGGTTGGGCTGACCTCCATGGTGGTTCTGACTGCCACTGGCGCCCTAGGGAAAGTTACTAGGGTTGAACGGGCGGTACTGGCGGACGATCATGGTGGTAGGTCCACCCTGCTGCCCGGGAGCGAAGCGCGGCCTCTGGTGACTTCCCTGAGGTGCCCTGAACTGAGCGGCCTTCCTCTTCCTGTCCATCTTGTTGCGTTGATCCTCCTGACGGATTGCCTTGTCAACTAGCCTCTCAAAGTCGGCGTAGTCCCCAGATATCAGTTGGTTGGTCAGCTCATCTTCCAGACCTGCCATGAACTTTTCCTGCTTCTCGGTGTCGGTACGGACATCCTCGGGTGCATATCGCGCGAGGCGATTGAACTCATGGAGATACTCCGTCACAGTCCTGTTGCCTTGATGGAGTGCCCGAAATTCCCTCTTCTTTTGTGCCACGACCCCGTCTGGCACCTGCGCCTTCCTGAAGCTACGGCAGAACTCTGCCCAAGTGACTTCAGTACCTGGTGGGCGGGTGGCCATGTGATTATCCCACCAAGCTGACGCAGGACCTTGAAGCTGGTGTGTGGCGAAAGCAACCTTCTCCTGATCATTGCACTGCAGGAGATTCAGCTTCTTCTCTATGGCATGGAGCCAGCCATTCGCCTCCATAGGGTTGGTGGTGCTGGAGAAGGTGGGTGGCCTGACACGTAGAAACTCTGGCAACTTGGACTGAGGGGGAGGGGGACCAAACTGCTGGTGCTGCTGTTCGGCGTGCTGCAACATCCTCTGGTGCATCTGCTGCATCATGGCTGCCATCATCTGAGTCTGATGTGCCATCACTTGGGCTAGCGTCGGATTCTCGGGAAGTGGTGGCGGACCATTGCCGGAATTGCTGTTGGGATGCACACCCTCAGTGCGCTCTTCGCCGTTGCTGCCCTCGCCTGTTGCGCGGCTACCATTCCTGGTGTAGACCATCTGGAGGAAAAGCATACGGGGGAAAAGAAGAAAAACATATGCTCAGGAACTAAGCTTTATTATATAGGAATTGAAACTGCAATTGTTCTGATCTGAATTAAAACACTTAAAAAGCAAGCAAAAATCCTTATTAAGACAGCCATATCATAGGCACATGATATCGACCGTCGACTGACCCCAAACAAGCAACCTAAACACACAAACTAACAAGCAGAAGCTAGACAGTCGATAAACTAATGGAAAACGAGCCTAATGCTCGGAACGGCTCCTGCGGTCGGTGGAGTCGAAGGCGTCCTCCTGCTCGTCACCAGGTCCCTCTGAGCGACTCCCGGAGCCTGGCAGATAAGTCTCGCCGCTGCCCGGCTCTGAGCCACTGAAGCTACTACTGCTGAGATCGCGGCTGCCACTGGGAGTAGCAGACAACCAACCTCCGTTGCCACTGGCTGGACCCCTGGCGGCTGATGCTGGAGCGAAGGAGAGAGCAGACGAGGGAGCGGACATGTGAATGGGAGCTGGAGCTGGTGCTGGAGCTGCAGGAACTGCGGGCGGAACTGGAGGTGCTGCGGGAGCTGCGGGCGGAGGTGGGTTCCTGGGCGCAAGCTGGATGCGCACGGGTGCAGTCGTCGTCTTGCGGGGCGTAGTGCGGATCCGGACTCCTCCTGGCGCGGGAAGTCCCTTTAACTGAGCATTCTCCCTCTTCAGGCGCGCTATCTCGTCCTTCAGAGCGACGATCCTCATGAGCTTCCCATCATTCAAGGCCTTGGTCGCCTTGTGCAGGTCCGAGTGCATCCTATCCAATCCCCTCATCACAGCACACATGTGACCAAAGGTGGTGTCGTTCTCGCCGGCTGTCGGACGGAAAGTACTGACATCATCACCACTGGCTCGACAAGGGTGAAATCGGTACGCCGTGTCGTGGAAGATGTAGTTGTGGCGCTCCCATAGTCTGGCCATCATCAGGTATGCTGCCTCCTGACAGGCGTGATCTGCTGTGCCTCCGGATGCCTCAACCACCATATTAGCTAGGCAGGTACCCACGTAGCCGTGGACCTCCAGGCGAACACGGTGAGGAAGCTCGCCACTGAGCGGTGGAACCGTCGTGTACTCTGGCGTGTTGGGGTAGCCCACCACCAGCGTCATACGTGCCAACTCTGCCACAAAGTCGATCATGCCTTCTCCACGGTGGTTGGGTGGGTGGCCGGCCATCTAGAGAAGGCAAAGGAGTAGGATCAATGCATGCTCAAATCCAAATTTAAATAAAGCAATAAAAGACTCAAATAAGAGAATCGAATAAGAGCGAAATTTTATGCATAGATCATTTTGCATGAGAGCGAATAAAGAAGACAGACTCACATAACGATAAAATAATGGGGAAATTAGATACATACTAATAATAACAATAAGAGCATAAATACCTTGCAACCCATGTTCCTGAGCTAGGACCTAATGCATTTCACCCATCAAATCCCAAATGACTGACGAATAAATCTCAATAGTTTTACTAAAACCCTAGACTGACTTGTTTTGACAAATCTCACTTAAACGAGCGACCAAGATTTTTCCCTTGAACCACAAGACAGATCCCAATTTTTCCCGAAACAAATCCAATTGCAAAGAACATATGCAATGAAAAGGATTCAGAGGGCTCTTAGGTTTTTCCTTTTGGCTTGTCCTACGGTCAAGGTCGGCTCTGATACCAACTTGTCACGCCCAGAAATTCTCGAATAGAATTCCAAGCAGAATGTGCATTAAAATCCCCGGCCGGTCCTGGACGGGGATTTTAATGCACATTCTGCTTGGAATTCTATTCGGGAATTTCTGGGCGTGGCATGCAGGCACATGGATTGAGGGGCCTACAAGTCAGCTCAAACTGACTTAAAGTGGGGTCAACCACCTGGAAACCGACTAAGGGGCCCACATGTCATCCACCAGCCAAACTTGGTGGATATAGGCGGTGGAGGTGGTTTGGCCGAACCCCTACTGGCTCTGCTAACTGCCATCTTCCATGTGGCGTTCCCTGATTGGTCCCTCATGGCGGTTATGGGAGGTGGGTGGCCAGAAACCTCCATTCTCGACCATCATTGGAGACTATAAAATGAGAACTCCATCACACTTCATTTACATGCAACTTTGAGCTCAAGCAGAGTACAACCCACTTATAGTTTCATATTTAGTATGTTAGTTTGGTACAGAGTGAGGGGTAGCTAAGGAAGGAGTGCCCTGAAATTTCGGAGTTCATCTGAGAATTTTACGGAGGAGTGCCGGATTGCCGACATTCTTCCAACAAAATTCCAGAGAAAGCCAGGATTGTCAACTTTCTTCTCTCGCTTGTACCTCAGCAGATGCTTCTTTATTCAAGTAACTGTTCGGGTTTTTTTTATGTTCTTTTATTAGTTTATTTAAGTGTCACAGCCTGAATTTCCGTTTTAGGATTTATAAATTATTTAATAAATTATTAATAGAATTTATATTAAATGTTCATTAATTTACAAGTGAAGTTAAATGTGGGAAATAAAATTTCCTAAATATAAAGCATGAATGGATTTAATTTGTATTAAGTTCTCCATGATTAATTATATTCTCTGAAATTTTCTCGGATTTTTCGGAGCTCAATTCCTAATTTTAATAATACAAAGAACATTTCAGTATGTTAAATTAATCATTAAATGAGCTGGTTTCAATTTTAATAAATACTTAGAGTGTTCAAGTATGTTCAAGATTTTTCTTGGAATTATTTGAGCATTGGAATTATTTTTAACAATTGAAAGATCATCTCAATGGTTAATTTATTTAGAAAAGTAATAATAATCCTCTTCCTAGTCTTGGGCCGAATTCAGCCCATTCCATTCTCTCCTCTCAGCCCGCAGAGAAGTCTGTTTGACCTCCCTGTCGCTACAGTACTCTATCTTCAACCTCCAGACAGAGACCGAGCCGTCCCAAGCCTGTGCAGCCGTGCCGCCTCCTCCCACCAATCCGGCCACCTCGTTGCTCCTTTTTCCAAATTAGTTGCGGGAATGGAATCCTCTCAATCTCCTATTCCTTTTCCGCAAGAAATACCCAAAAGTTTCTATGGAAATCCTTTCCAATTTCGCGGTTCAATCTTTCCTTACTCCGGCGAGAACCCTAGACTTTCCCGAGTTTTCCCGTCGATTTGGGCTCGGACCCGAGCTCCCGTGCCTATATAAAGGACCCCTTAGTCGTCCTCTACCTATCCCCCCATGTCTCATCTTCCGCCGTCGTCGGAATCGCCCTCCCCGCGAGCTCCTTCTCTCTCCGCCGCCGGTAGCCGTTCCAGCCGCCGTGCGCCGTCGCCTCGGCCGTCGCCGATCAGCGCCACCACCTCCCTCGGCTCCGCAAAGTACAGCTCTATCCCGGCCGCTGGTTCTTTTGCGCCAAATCCAACCGGAGATTGGCCGTCATCGTGAACCGGAGCGCCGCCGTCGCCGCCGTGCCTCCAGCCGCGCCGTTCGTCGTCGTCCGTCGTCGCCTTCGGTCGCCGTCGTCTCCATTGGATTCGCAGCTGCGAGGAGAAGCCCGTCCGCCATCTGTCATCCGCCGAAAATCGCCAGAAAGTCGTCGCTGGCCAACTCCTTCGCTTCATCGCTGCGTAAGTGTTGGTAAGCATCGCCATTGCCTCCTCTTTCTCCCGGTGCCCTCCGTTTGCATTATTGTGCCGTTGTTCGCCGGCAACCGCCGCTCCTATGTCATTCACCGGTGTACTTTATCCCTATGGTCTTAATTCAATCTAATCCGTTGTTTGTCTAGCATCGTCGTCGTCTCCATGTGTTACCGCTGGGTCACCGTCGTCATCTCTCTCTCTGATCGCTTTGGTTCGGTGAGACTTCTATCCGTGTTTCCTCGGTTTAGTTTTTAATCTTTCGTTTTTGTCGTCGAGTAGCCGCCGCCGTGCCACGCTTAGCTGCTGCCCTAGCGTCGCCGCTGCGCTAGCCGCCTAGCCGTCGCTGTGCCGCTCCCTGCTACAGCCATGCAGCTGCTGCTCGTGCGTGCCAAGTCGCTGCCGTCCCACTACCATAGCCACCGTTTGCCGTCGCTGTGTGTCGTCGTCGCTGTGCCGTCATCCTAACCCTAGCCGCGTGCCTCCGCCGAGTCGCCGCCGCCAAGCCGAGCCAACTCGCCCTAGTGCCGCCATGTCGCAGCTGTGTGCCGCTTTAACCTAGCCGCCGCTTTAGCCGTTGCTCGGTAGCCAAGTTGTTTAGCCGTTGGTGCATCCCTTAATTCCTACCGGCCTATCGTTTGCCGTACCGGGGCTTTACCGTTAATCATGTCTAGCTCACCGGTTTAGTCGCAGCCGTTGTTGAGTCGTTCGCTCGTTCGTTCGAACGAGGTGTCCCCCATGTTTCGTTCGTTCGTCCGTGTGGAGTCGTCCTTTAGTTTAGAGCCGTTCCGAGCCGCCGGTTCCGTTCGCCGATTTCGGTTGATCATTTGGGTGATTCCGTGTCACGTAGAATTGACTCGTTGAGTCGGTATCTCGTGAGGCTCGCTTGCCAGATTAATCTAATTCGATCTTGGTCGACTCGGTCAAGATTAATCTCAGCCATATAAATCCGTTCTCTCTTTTTAGTGGCATATTATTTCTTTTTAATATATGTCATCTACCAAATATGATCTAATCTTTTTCCGGAGGTTGTTTTAATCTTTATCTCAGTTATAAATCATTTCTAAATTGTTTAATTAATTTGGAATAGTATTTTCTTTAATAGGTTTAATTGGAATTAAATCTTGTAAAATTCATAACTAATTCATATGAAATCGGAATGAGGCCGTTCAAGTCTCATAATTCATCTAAAATCATGATCTACATGTTTATTTACTTTTATGTACTGTTTATTTGGAGTTTCTTAGTGTTTTCCTTGTTTTGCGTGTTAGTTTGTCGTTTCCGTCGTTTTCGGAGGATCGTGAGTGCGTCGGAAGTGTTCAAGAAGATTAATTGAATTGAAGACCCTTTATTGCAAGGAAAGTCACACAGATCCCAAACACAATTCCTTTGAGCATGTTGATCCTATATTTAAATTCTCTATTTATTTCAACTATGCATTTATTTTTGGAATGTCACCGGGTGGTGTGAACCTATTCCTTTGTTATGCCCACTTTGCATTGCTTACTCTATTCTTTGATACCTTGGGTGACAATTTGACTAGTTGGACTTATATATTGGTTCAGCTAGATATTAGATATAATTGCTTAGCCATGCTTACAAACATTAGCACATGATTGGGATAACTAATGTTTCACTATCACTTAATGATGGATATTTAATTGTAGCTCACGATGGCTAATCGTGATTGGTTAATTAATTAATGTGCCAACTAAAACTTGATAATGGTGGGTTGTGAGCACATGGTTTTGATGGTCGTGCTCATGACAATTAAGGACCGGTTCACGAGTTTCGGTTGTGAAACATTAATCGTGCCAACCACAAGCCAGCGTGGGCAACGGCTTTACCTTTTATATAGTATGGTTCATTGCAGGGCACCAGACTGAGAAGTGGCGGAAATAAGCCCACAGGGGTCGCTGGGAGTCCATGCCTTGTTTTATAAGGGGGTGATTATGATCCAGGAACGGTGCGCTGTGGTGGATTGTGTTATGCGAGGGGTACTGTCACAGCTCCTTTCCGAGGTACCGTGGTGGTATTGAGGCGCATGGTGACATGTCGTGGAGCTGTGTCTTGTGGGTACAGTGGTACACCTCTGGCCAGAGTAAAACTATTCGAATAGCCGTGCCCGCGGTTATTGGTGGGTCTAACAATGTCTTTCGTGATTAGTCTCACACTTTTCACCATAATAAATGATGCTATAACTGGTAATAATTTGATTAGCTCCTGGTTTGGAATGGTATATTCCTGGTTTGGAGATAGATCTGTACAGCTGGGTATGGTTGTTCAGGATGGTTGGGCCTGTGCAGCATGGGTGTGTTGTTCAGTGTTGATTAATATTGATGATTAATTACTCTACTATTTTACAATTCTCAAATGTTTGCTAAATGCTGCTTTTGCAAATAAGCCCTATATTATGCCATTCTTTGGTATTCTTGTGCACTTGCATATTTGTTGTGTGGCTTGTTGAGTACGTCATATGCTCACCTTGCAATAATTAATCAAACCTCAGTTGAAGACAAGTTGCGAAGGAGAAGACGTTTGGCTTATACCCCAGTTGAGCTGCCTGTGGGAGTGGAGCCGGAGCTTCGCTAGACCGTAATTCCGCTGCTATTTTCTTTTCTTTTGTAAGTATGTAACGTTATTATTATGATGAATCTGTATATTAAATTGTCAGTTTGTGTACCTCGACTGATTCCTGGACGAGGATTTCATGCACAAATTAGTTCGGAAATTACAAGTGAATTTCTGGGCGTGACATTAAGTGAGACATATTCTCATCGGTGCTGCTTCATTGCTTAATGTTCAACTGACTACTCTAATGCTAGGACTCTAGATAAAGAAGGAAGTTCCTGCGCAAGCCTATAGTAGTAATTAATAACTTAGATGTGGTGTTTAGGTTAGAAATTATCTTCGTTTGTTATGTGCTCCACGAAAAGTGAGGTAGGCGGCATGTGGTGACAACCATGTCCGTCCTTTGTATCCCTCCAAGTTCAAGTACATCATAGAGCTTAAGGCCGGACTCAGCCGCAAACTAGGGGAGGACTAGTGCCCGAAGCATTTGATAGAGATTTACCTTTAACTTTTTTTATGGGAAGTTTTACCTTTAACTTAATTAATTTTAATTAATTAATTAATTAATTAAAAGACATAGGAATTCTCTCTAGCCAACTTATCCTAAGTTGTTGTCCTTGGATCGAATCTTGATCATTGATTATACACACACATTCCTTGTGTTCGATACCCTTCGAATACTCTAACGGAAAATGCTACAACGGTATTTTGTGCGTTTGCGGATTTATCTGTGATCATAAGAAATACCAACAGCTACTTGGCACAAACATCTACAAGAAAGAAACTGTGGATCCAGTGGCATGTGCACAGTGCACTTCAATGGATACTGCGTGCACCATATCATCCCTTGAACTGCATGCGGATAGCCCTTTGATTCAGTTGAATTTGCATCCACGTTTGTGCACAGTTGAGGGCATCTAGGCATGAGTCACCATCCCCTGATTGAGTTAGTGCCTAATTTGATCGGTTGATTGGTGAGAATTTCATGTGAGATCGATTCTCATGTGCATGGCTGATTCACATCTGCTTGCAAGTGAGGCTGGCGCACTTGAGGTGATCGAGCATCATAATTCACAACACATCCCCATCTAATCATCTTAGATCGTTATGGAGTAGGAAAGGCCAGAAGCTAAGCTGCAGCTTGCAAAGGTTGTCTCATCTCAACTCCTCGACGCAGTGCTCAGGTGTGCACTAGGGACTAAGAGGCATATGGAATTCCAGCACCACCGACAGCGTCATCGAAACAGAACTCCACACACGGCCAAGCTTCACCTTCTCCATGAACCATGCACGCGTTGTCGAGCAATTCTAGCGAGAAATATTGGGACATTGGAGGGAAACTAATAAACGTCAATATGGTCGGACATCGGTCAGAGGTGGGACACTAGACAACATCACTGTCAAATAGGTTAATTGTTGATTGACATGTACATGGCGCTAGGATGTGGGTTTGAGAGAGGGATTTGACATGTACATGGTGCTAGGATATGTGGGTTTGAGAGAGGGGTTCTTGCGGATTAGAAGTTGGCTTAATCTTGTAATCACTTGATCCACTTTGTAAGAAAACCAATTTTTTTCTTCATTCATCTCTATTTATGTTGTGTAGTGGTTGCTTCATTTTACATTTAGTGTAAACTGTTTAACAAATACTAATTATGTAGTTGCAGTCCAATTTCATTCATGTAAACTTTGTATATGAAAAGGATTATCCGGAGAGACACTGTTATTTTTATATCAGCTCTATCCAAGTTGCTGGCTATGCTTTGTTGGGATTAATATTGTGCCAGCATGTTTTGTGGTAATCTTTCATATCAAATTGTACTTTTCATTCTAGAAATTTATCTTTGTTTTGTGAAAAAAATGATAAAAGCAACTATATTTCATGTTATTAATACAAGAGAGCTTTTCAATCTATCGCCAATCTCTTCCAAGCCTGATCAGCACTCTGAAAAATAACACTCTGAAATAATTCTGTGTAAAATTGATTGGTGGAAATTACCGCTAGCGGTTGGTGTCTCAATCACTCTTGAAAGTCTTTATCAACCTATCTTACTCCCTCCATCCCTAAAAAAACAAACGGAAAATACTATGCATACGATGATTGTTTACGATATTTGTATGATCTGACGCCATGCCATTCACCTAGGAGAGGAATACGTTTTTGCATCAGATAGGAACATGCAGCCGTTAACAGAAACGACTGATCGTAAAACTATCATAAGCAAAACATCGTATGTATAGCAGTTCTCAAAACAAACACTAGGTTTGTCGACAAAGGGAGTATCACTTTGTTAGTGTCACATTATTTGTGGCAGAGAAAGATGCTATAATTTGCAAATCTATTGAAGAAAACAAAGCATATCCATATTCATCATACTAGATTATGTCTTATTCTTAGTTAGGTTAATTTGTTTTAGGACGGAGGATGGCATGTCGTGTCCAGGGTGTGAAAAACCGCCGGTAACCGCGCGGTTACCGCGGTTACCGCCCGTACCGCGGGGGTACGGTTACCCGTACCGCGCGGTACGGTTTAATAAAATTCGTCCAAATTCAAAAATTTAAAAAAAAAAGAAAAAAATCAAAAAAAATAGTGAAGGTAGTGCTTGATTTATAGTGTTTTATGGTGAAGAAATTTCTCAAAAAAGAGTAATATTTATTCAAATTTGAGAGCAAAACGGAGAATAAATTTGAAAATTGGAAAAAGAAAAAAAAATGGGCCGGCCCGTTACTGTGCAACCCATTACACATCGCGCGGTAACCGCGCCAAACCGCGTGGTTACCGCGTCAAACCGCGCGGTAACCGCGCCAAACCGCGCGGTTTGCCCGAATTTTTGAATTCAAATTTCGATTTGTAAATTTGTCGCGGTTTTGCGCGGTTACCGCGGTTACCGCCGGTAACCGCCGTACCGCCGGGTGGCGGTAACCGGGCCCCCGGCGGTTTTTGAAACCCTGGTCGTGTCAAGGCAAAATATATCAATATTCACTAGCCACTTAATCGCACGTTGTGCAACTTTAATACCCATATAAAAACCATGTATGTGGGTTATAATGTATGATATGAAATTTACTTTAAATTTAAATTTTCACAAAACTATAGGACTTGATGAATAATGTTAGAAACATCGCTGCATAGGATGAAGGTATCTCTTATGTCGATCATAAGTATCCACCTGTAATCAGTTTTCTAAATATACATTGTCTTGCCAATAAAAAGAATATAACTGTCACAAAACATGAAATCTATTGTTATCTAAACAATTATTGTTTTAGAACTCGATAAACCTAGAGGTGGCTTGTTCAGATAGATGCATATGACAATAATTTAAATGTTTGTACAAATATATATAGTGCAAAATTTAACATAAAACTGGCAAATTGTTTGATTAGTCATCCCACAATCTGCCAATCAAATCCACATAATCACAAAATCGAAAAGAAAGATCTAGAGACAAAAATCGGTAACAACGATCTGTTTGTGTAATGATAGAACTACATAACAAATCAATTCAATGTTATCTGACACATGTCATATGAACAATTCATTAATCTTGTATTTAACTCAGGTACAAATTGGAAACCTACTGACTCTGCTGTAACAAAAATATTGTACAGTATAAATCAAGAATACATCTTGATTCTAGAATGCCCAATAAGGGCACATTTTTCTTATGCCTACTCTCACATGATACTACACTCTATTACAATACTACTACCTCAAGTGGACATTGAGATAAACTATTTTTTGCGGCTTCACATGATATATTATATGGTATATATGTTATTACATGGATATATTTATCTATTGTCCATCAAACTGAAATATTGACCGTTATAATATTACAAAAACTATTAATTGAATCCATTATGATTTATATTTTGAACTGAACATACATGATAGGAATAAGTATGGCAACAAATTGCAAGCAAATAACATGGAACATAATGGTTAGTCAGATTTTAATTGAACAAATATCTCCCCATTCATGATGCATGTTGACAAATATATCGAATATAGGTAAGTATAGGGCAAAAAATAGTTAAATAGTTGTATAATGAACTCATCAG